AATAATAAAAGCTAGTAAACAATTTTGCTTTGGGAACCCTAAACTATTTTCAAGTTCATTAAGACCCTGTTTTTTCTCTTTTTGTCGCTGTTCACGGCGGGGCCTCGGCTGCAAGCGCTGTTGCGATGGCCTTCTGGCCATCTCCGCCTATGTTCCATGGCGAGAACTTGGCCTACTCCAAGTTTTGGCGCGTCGGTAAGGGCAACAACTAGGGCCGGAGATGAAGCAGCAGTAGCATGGCACCGACATGGTCCTGCTGCTGAGCCGACTCAGGATGCTGCTGCTCTACGCCCCGGCTTTCGTCGCCTCACTCGCGTCCTTTGCTATCGTGCGCTGCCAACGTTCGGCAAGTGACCAGAGCCATGGGCAGGCCACGCGGTTGTGGCCAAGGCATCGTTTTTGGCTGACGTCTAGGGTGGGCGCGACCGGTGACACGGCATCCTGTGGTGTTGTGAGATCTGACGCCAATGGCAGGTGCGGCCTGATGGCGGACTTCGCCATGAGGTTGTCCATGAATGTCTGGCACGTGATCTTCGACGAGGGCAACATTAAGGATGTGCTCCCGCACTACAGGATCAGATCAATATTTTTTTTCATAATTGACGTGTCACGATCGACCTATAGAGTCCAATGGAAAATCATATGTTGCACATGTGTGATTGACTGGCTGAAGCGGGAGAGCGGGGCAAAGCATTGCCATGTAGACGATTCCGTTTTATATTTCTTTTGCGTTGCAAAGGAAAAAATTCGAGTCCAAGCTTAAGAAGTTGCAGGCTAGCCGCAAGAAATGGATGTCATATATCTTATTAGACTTGAAAATCTTCTAACTCGTCTTTGATTGGTGACCAGCCGCAGTTTGGTGCCATATAACTCATCTTTGAAATCTTTTTATTTATTTATTTTTTCTGTTTTTGATTTTTTTTCGGCTGCGATCGATTCTGTTTCCGTGTTTTTTTGTGTCTTTTTACTCGTTTTCTTATTTTAGTCGGGTCTTGTGATCGGCCAAGTAATCGGTGGAACAACCGAGCGTTGATGAGGGCAGCGGCGGATCCAGGAATAATTTTAAGGGGGGCTGAACAACACATATCTTCGACTGCTGCTCGATCTTAAGTCTCAACCCCCTACACTATAGAATTTTGCCTAAAAATTCATGGAGGCTCCTGGGGTTCCACTGCGGTATGGGTAGGGGGGCTCGAGCCCCCCCCCCCCCCCCCCCCACCGTTGGATCCGCCCATGGATGAGGGTTGAGTGGTCTACATTGCTTTGCATGCGGACATGCAACAGAGTTTGTCTCGGGTTTCTACGGGCTGGCCGGGTGCGTGTTGGTTTCCTGAACAGGTGTGACACCGCGACGGGAGCCAAGGCGGAGCCAAAGGTGAGGTGATCCGACGATACCCTTAGGAATTTTTTAGGTGTATATATAGAAGATATGATGAACCGGAGCTAGGCTGGAGTTGATGGTGATGATTTTCTTTTGGAAACTCATCCTGTCTCGTGGAAAAATTCTAAATTGCGTGTGAAATAAGTTTCCACTAGATTAGGATTATCCCATCTATTTTATATAAGAGGATTACGGATGATTGAGATATCCATCTATTCAATCGACAGAAAAATCAATATATCTTACTTTTTATCTTCTATCTCGAACTTTTTCACTCCTTGTTGTCAAGCACACTTCTCTTATTAAGGAGATTTGTTGGTGTTTTGGGCGACATTCCAATTTGGATTTGCTCTACTAAGTAAATATATTGCAAATATGGTCTAGGTAATAAATGCCCAAGTTTCCTTTCCCAATTCCAATAAGATCGTCATGCCTCATTAGCCCATACTGCTTCACAAAGAATACCATGGTTAAAAAAGTAAACCCTAGATTAACGGCATAATATCTCCAAGAATGCAAACGCTGAGTTAATTGATATGTATAATAATTTAGAAATATGGGAAAATAATTTTTTTGTAAAAGCACTTCTTTTTCATATAAATATTCAAAATAATTTTTTTGTAAAAGCACTTCTTTTTCATATAAATATTCAATCTCACTAAAGAAAACTGTTTGCGGATCCTAGCACATCTCTGTTGTGCTCCTCCCGATGGGTCTTCTTGAGAAGTCTTTCCTGGCCTTTCATGTGAAGAAAGAGTGTTAAATCAGCCTCATCGACCTGCTAGTCGGCCTTACCATTTAGACCTCACTCTGTTGCGTATCTCGGCCGTGTGCGACCTTGACAATCTAGCTCTTGCTAGTGTGATCACTGATTTAGCGTCAACAGATCACTTCGACTTAATTTTCATTTTCAACTTCTGTATCTAAATTCTATTAGTGTTATGTGGTGTGTCACAAACTAAAAAAATATTACTATAATTGCTCTCAACTTATATTTACTTAAAAAAATATGTTATCATCGGTCTCAAGGTCATATATGTTATTTTATACTGCCCGGCGATGCAACTGCTGATATTTTTTTATCGATTCAGATGCGTTTTAACTGGTTCCAGAACGTTGGATCTTATGGCTTGTCTAATGCTTTGGAGTTGATCGTTGTATTCGGCATATGGACTACACTTTGGCTTCGGTGTTTGACAAGGCTCAGTTCATCTAGAGCATCGACCACATCAAGGAAAGCCACGAGAGAAGTTGGAAGAATCTAGATATAATATTGTACCTTATTTATTTCAAATTTTTTATATGTAATTTGGGGATGTTTTTCTAGAACATGCATAGCATGTATTTCATTGAGAGGGATTGTAATTTAGGGATGTAGTGTGCTAAGTTTTAATATAATTTCTTCTTCCCTTAGAAAAAATATATATGTTATTTTATACTTAGGTCGTGGACAATAATCAGATTGCCAAACACTTAAATTCTTTAGAACGTATATTTTTGTTAAGATTAAAATCGATTCTCACGAAAACGGTTCGAAACATGGCCTATACCGCCGTGGAACCTGCCTTTCCTGGTTGCGATGCTTGAATGCGTGGTGCCTGCGCTGCCAGTACCGTCGCTGCTGCCCGTCGTGGCCCCCGATTCTGCCTGGAACCGAACGACCGGCGGCATGAACGTGGCCCACTGGCATGTTGGCGGGGTCGCGGGGACGCTCGGCACGGGCGCCTCCAGTCGCAGCACATTGAGGCGCGGTCAGGGTGCGCGCACCAGAGTGCTGTGACCATCACGCACTCCGCCTCCTCGCCGCCGCCGCCGTCCAGCCATGCGTCGGCGGCGTCACGGATCCTCCCTTGCCCGTAGAGCTCCCAGGCCCACTGCACCAGGTGCACGGTGGCGTACTCTTCGGTGTCCTGCAGCACCACGATCGGGCGGCGGCCGGTGGCGACCTCGAGCATGACGACGCCGAAGTTGTAGACGTCAGACGCGGCGCTGGCGCTACCGCTGAAATAGCATTCCGGGTCCATGTACCCCATTGTGCCGGCCAGCACGGTTGTCCGCGACTGCCGCTCGTGGTCGACCTGCCTGGCGAGTCCGAAGTCGCCGAGCTTGGCGTTGAAGGAGGCGTCGAGCCTCGAGCGTGACGTTGCTGGGCTTGATGTCACGGTGCAGAACGCACTGCTCCCACTCCTGGTGCAGGTACACCAGTACGTGCAGAACCGATTCCGAGCACGATGTCATGCCTACATGAGTGATGAGAGATGCAGGCCCTAAGAATTTGTTGAATAGATTGAAGCACGTAGGATGCATGAGATCTAAAGATGAGAAGGATGCTAGCTCTGCAAGGTGTACCTGAGTTGCCACGACAGCACGTTGTCGTGGCTGTGGATATGGGAGTCGAGGCTTCCGTTTGGCATGAGCTCGTACACGAGCATGAGCTCGCCGCCGCCATGGCACCAGCCGACGAGCTGCACCTGCACGAGGTTGCGGTGCCTGAGCCGGTTTATGATCTTCACCTCGGAGACGTACTCTCTCCTCCCTTGCTTGGAGCTCTTGGACACTCTTTTTATGGCGACGTGGAGGTCCACTTCCTTGAGGTACCCTCGGTACACGGAACCGAAGCCCCCCTGGTCGAGCTTCTCCTTGTCGGAGAAGAAGCTCGTCGCGGCGGCCAGCTCGCTGTACCGGAAGTCTGGAATCGCCTCGGCCCCGTGCTATTCACAAATGACTCGTCGTCCAGACACTCGTCGTCATCGTCGAACACGTCGTCGTGGTCGTGCTCTCCTGCCTTGCTGCGCCGGCGCCATAGCCGCCGCCACAGGAACCCGACCAAGACGCTGGTACAGGTGACGAATATCACGGAACCAGCAGCCACGCCGGCCACCAGGGCATCCGACGTCGGGATCAGGCCAGCAGGTGGCAATGGCGCTACTGGTGCAGCAGGACCAGGTTGTGCAGCAGTACCAGCAATCGTGGATGGCTGCAGCGGCGGTGCTGCTGCTGCCATCTCAGTTGCTGGCGGAATGGTGATTTGGAGCTCCGTCCCGATCTGGTACGCCAAATAGCAGCTGTGTAATGACCTGTATGTTTGTTTGTTTGTTTTTTGTTGAGATAAATAGGGCTATGCTACAAGCTTATGAATTCAGTGACAATCCTTGACATGTAGCCCGTTCGCTTCGCTGAAAAAACAAGCCGAAACACTGTTCCGGCTAATTTGTTGCGAGAGAAAAATAAAAAACACTGTTCCGACTGAAAAGACATATTATAAGAGAAGCGACCAGACTTGTATTTCATATGTGCTGAAATGAAGCTCAATGATGTATCTATACATCCAAATCCATGTAAAAAGGCACTTGTATTTCCACGTCATGCAATGCAACATTCCAAAATCATCAGTTGTAGATGCTGCAGAACGCAAGCCATGGATCGTCTATAAATAGCTCCCACATATGCACTACTCTATCATCATCAGATCCCACATCCAGATCAGAGACACTACTACTACTGCAACAAGCAAGCAAAGGAGTAGAGAGGATCGTCCAACAGATCAGCTATAGCATGAAGATGGTCATCGTTCTCGCCGTGTGCCTGGCTGTCTGCTGCCAGCGCTTCCGCTCTGCAGATGCCATGGACGGGGCTGCAGGGCTTGTACGGTGCCGGCATCGGCGCCGGCGTTAGCGGCCTGATGACGATGACGATGATGGGCGCCGGCGGGCTGTACCCCTGCACCGAGTACCTGAGGCAGCCGCAGTGCAGCCCGGTGGCGGCGCCCTTCTACGCCCTTGGTGAGCAGACGATGTGGCAGCCGAACGCCATCTGCCAGCCGCTCCGGCAGCAGTGCTGACAGCAGATGAGGATGATGGACATGCAGTCACGGTGCCAGGCCATGTGCGGCGTGGTGCAGTCCGTCGTGCAGCAGCTGCAGATGATGATGCAGCTCCAGGGCACCGCCGCCGCCAGCAGCCTGTACCAGCCAGCTCTGATGCAGCAATGGCAGCAGCTGCTGCCGGCGGCCCAGGCCCTCACCCCCATGGCCATGGTGGTGGCGCAGGTTGCGCAGAACATGCCGGCCATGTGTGGACTCTACCAGCTGCCCAGCTACTGCACCACCCCCTGTGCCGTCTCCGCTGCCATTCCGCCCTACTATTGATTCATTTGGGAAATCTCCTCTCTCTGTTATACTCCCTCTGTTCCAAATTATAAGTCGTTTTGACTTTTTTTTAGTACATCCATTTTTCTATATATATAGATATAATAATATATCTAGATTCATAGCAAAATGGATGAATAAAAAAAGTCAAAGCGACTTATAATTTGGAACGGAGGGAGTATGTAATAATGCAGTAAGACGACACACATTCTCAAACCTTGCTGTGAATGCACATGACAATTGCGGAAGGAACGGAAAATGACAAATCAGATGGAGCGATCCAAAAATTGGCATAAAATATTTGAGCTATACAACGACTAAGCAGTTTCTGAGGAGCATAACTAGAACACACCAACCAAACACAATATGGTACTATCAAGTCTCACCGTTGACAGTACTGATAAGATTTTAGCATTGTACCAATCTAGAAAGTGAATATAGGACTCAAGGGCCAAGGCCACAGGAGAAACTAGTAACAATCACAAACTATAGCAACTGATCATCCCCAAGACTTCATCAGAATAACTGATATTCTTCCTTCTCCACCATCGCCTCTGCAGAAATATCTTATGCTGCAGCTTCCCTTCATATTCCTACATCAAAGTCAAAAAGGACTCAGTTACACCAGTGTGCCAAACCTAAGAAACTAGTAACAGTTAAAGTTCTGAACAGTAAAGACACTAGCATAATCTTTCCACTACAGAAGTTAAATTTCCGATCATCTTTATCATAACTTAAATAAGTAGTAGAAAATATGAATGAAAGCTTGGTTGAGACTTGAGATAGTTGTGCTTAAGCAGGTATAATTACTCAGAGTTGCATGAGGTACCCACCACTGACTAGTTACCCACTACATCAAGCGCCTTGTCCAGCAGGATTCAAGAAAGAGGGTGGCCACGCAATTGTGTAAGGGTAGATCAGCGCCCCCAGGCAATCCGCTTTGGGCAACATCTTGAGCTTCATAGTTTCAAGATCAATGGAGAATATATTTGTCCACTTCCGGAAGAACACAAGGCCAGCGGCCACCCCAATGACATCTACATCATCTCGGTATGACTGCACTGAAGGATTGATCCTCTCGTATGACTCCAGTGAAGGATCGATCATCACCGTCAGTGCCTTGTGGAACCTCAACGATTTCTCCACCTGCCTCCATGCCATCCCACCGTCACCGTCCGCCGTGCCAGCCCACACCTCGAGGCGGTAGCCGGTCATAGTGAGCAGGTGCAGGACACTGGCATCATCCTCTTCCCCTCTGTCGAAGGCGTCGAAGCGCAGGTCCCGCAGGGCAGGCGGGAGGTCCAAAACCGAGAGCTCCATGGACGCCGTGCTGAAAGCCACCATGCGCTCCCCGCCCTTGAGCCTCCAGTACAGAGACCGGTTCGCCTGCATGACCCGGGAGCCGGCGGCTAGATCGGGCTGGCACGAGATGCCGGCGACGTCGGCCCAGGAGAGCTCGCCGGAGGCCAGGACCAGCGCGCGCAGCTCGGGCGAGGCGGCGTCCCGCGAGACGCAAACCACCCGGAACTCCGACGACTCGCCGTCGTCGGTGAAGAGGCCGTACCCGACGGCGCACCCGGCGGGAGGCGCGGGGAGGGAGACGTAGCGGCGGGAGATCGGATCCGCGACGGCGAGTTCATGGGACCTCAGGTTCTCGAGGAGAAGGCGGCCGTTGCGGCAGTCCAGGTGCTTCCACGTGGCTGCGCCCTGGCCCAGCCAACCGCCGCCGGGAAGGAAGGAGAGGGCGAAGTCGCCACCGTTGGCGGCCGCGGCCGCAGACGACGATGACGACGAGGAGGGGGAAGCAGAGATGGGTACGAAGTGGGATTTGCCGATGCGGCGGTTGGGGAAGAGGAGGAGGCAGCCGAGGAGGCGCGGGCAGGAGGGGTGGCGGCGGCGGAAGCGGCGAAGGAAGGGCGCGCTGCGGGCAGCGCGGAGGAAGGGCTTACAGGCGGCGGCTGCGCGGAGGAGGTCGGCGGAGGCCGGAAGGTGGATGAAGACCTCGCGGAGGAGGTCCTCGCCCAGCGCGACGATGGGGGCGCCGGCCGCCGGAGCCATGCGGCGATGGCGCACCTGGCCCGGGATCGGAATCGACAGGTCAGTCGTGAATTGGGTGGGGATTGAGGAAACTCCGGAATAATTAAGGGTTAATCGGATCATGTCATTATAAATTCTAGATTCGACAAGGTTTATGAGATATCACACTACTGCTCTAGGTCTCAAAATAGAAGTTATTCTTCTTTCATGAAAAGTCAATATTTTTTAATTTTAACCAATTATATATAAAAATATTATTATTTATAATACATAAGCTAGATCGTTGAATATACTTTCGTAATAAATTTATTTAAAAATATAAATATTGCACATATTTTTTATAAACTTAGTCAAAGTTGAAAAAAATTGACCTACACGTATCCGATAACGTCCTTCTTTTTGATGGTGGGAGTACTTCTCATTTAATAGTGTAGATGTCATTATAATTTCTCTCGTACACTTAAAATATGTTTGTGTCTTTAAGCTCACATGCATACATATGGACAACTCCATATTTTCTTATGGACTAAATTGCCCCTTCCTCGTCTCCTCTATGAAAGGTCCTTGTTTGATTTTGGTAATTAAGTGACAATCTTAGGTGGACTAATATGTGTTTGATTGAGATACACAGGTGATTAGTCCACAAGTAAATCATGTGTGAGCAACATATGCCATGGAGGTGAAATGACTGGATATGTTGCAAGGCTCACACATAGGACGAAAGAGCTCATTATTACATATGAGACATGATATAGAGTCATATGATCAAGGTGGAGAAGATCAAGACAAGACTTGACTCGACGGACCGGTTGCAAGTGTGAAGGGCAAGTTGAGTGATGACTTGGCGTCGATAGACCGAAGCAACTGTGAAGAGCAAGTGAAGTCAAGATCGATGAACCAATACGGTCACATGATGATATGAAGTGGATCATATCATTTGTGATTGGTTGGTGCATGTGTTGCATCAACATTGGAGAAGATGGAATAGAATGTCCAAGGCATAGGTATATTTGTAGGGCATTTCATTTCATCGGTCATAAGTGTGTAGAGAAGTTTATGACCGGGTTTAGGATAGATGGTTGTACTATCAAAAGAGGCAAACTTGTTTGCATATTGGTCATCTAGTGCCACTCGAGTGATCTAACTTTGCATCATTGCTAGGATCGAGTGGCGTGGTGAACTGGGTAACTAATCCTTTGGGAAATGTTTATAAAAAACTAACATACATGCACAAGGTGGTGATCACTTGGTGGTGTTAGCACATTTACAAAGATGTTGGAAAAGGTGAAAAAATGGAGACGAAACCGGGCTCGAGGTGATGCCCTAGGGGCACCACCACCCCTTGTCCGGTGCACCGCCACACCTGTGGCGGTGACCGGCTGGTCAAGGCCGAGAGCAGGGGTTGGAGCTAGCACCATCGTGCCTTGTCCGGTGGCACCGCCATTGCTAGGGCGATGCCCACCTGGCTTCGGCCGAGAGGACCACAGAGAAGGGGTGGCACCAACATGTCCGGTGAGCACCGCCGTGCCAAGGGCGGTGCACCGCCCTCACCTGTCCGGTGCCACCGCCACTTTTGGCAGAAAGCGTGGTTGAGCGAGGGGGTCACCGCCATGGTCACCGCTATGTTGACGGCGGTGCACCACCCTAAATTTCCAGAGAGAGGGGTTTTTGGGTGGCTGGTTGGGTGGTCACCGCCACCCTGTCCGGTGCCCCAACGGCCGTTGGATGACCGTTGGGGGGCACCGCCACCCTTAGGGCGGTGCCACCACTACCGTGTCTGGTGCACTCGTAGAAAAGGGATCTTTGCTCCAACGACTCTATTTGGCTTAGGAGCTATAAATAGAGGTGGAGCTCGGGCATTTGGCCGGTTGAGCATCCTTGGGACTGAGTGTCCATGCTTGGGGAGTGCTTGGGAGCCCTCTAACTCACTTATGCTTGATAGTGATCATCCGATCGAGTGAGTGAGTGATTCTAGTGCATTGCATCGTGAGGTTACATCAAGTGGCACTAGGTGATCGAGTTGCAAGCCGGTGGTGCTTGTTACTCTTGGAGGTTGCCACCTCCTAGACGGCTTGGTGGCTTGTAACTCTGTTGAAGCACGTGAAAAGATTGTGTGGTGCTCTAGAGGAGGATTTGTGAGGGGGATTGTGCTCACCCACGGGGATCACGAAGAGCAACTCTAGTAGAGTGTGTCATTGAGCTACCCTCACTTTTGGGGTAGGTTCTTGCGGTGCCCGACGTACAGGCTTGGCGGGTGATGCCAATTAGTCACCGAACCAGCAAGTGAGCGGTCGACACAACGGGGACTAGCGTGTTGGCAAGCACGTGAACCTTGAGATAAAATCATCATGTCATCCTTGTCTTCCTGTTGGTTTACATTTCCTTTTACACAAGCTTGTGTTTACTTTCATATACGTTGTGCTTATGTAGTTGCTCTTGTGATTAGTTGCTTGTGTTGCTTGTTTGTTACATTCTTGCTTGTGTAGCATAGAAGTAGATCCCTTGCATGACTAATTGGCTTGTGTAACCTTGTTAGTCACATTGCTTAGTTTGTGTAGCTAAATAGTTTACGCTCTCTAATTTGACTTGTATAGCCTTGTTATTGAGCATTGCTAGTGAGCTTAGGCTTTGTGCTTTTGCATACTAGTTGTGTAGGAGCTCTCTCGTGCTTGAAGTACTAGCGGCATAGGTTTGTGTGACCTTGCTCCTAGAATTGGTTAGGTGAGCTCTAGCTAGCCCGACATCTTTGTTGCCTAATAGGATCTTTATAAGGTGCTTGAGAACTTAGATAGAGGGGTGTAGTCTTGGCTATACCGATAGTTTTAATTCCGCATTTATTTCGGTTAGCCTACGCGTTTATTTTTAGAAAGGACTATTCACCCCCCGTTAGTCTACCATCTCAATCCTACATGTGGTATCAGAGTTAGGTCTCTCATTTGTGGTCTTTACTGACCCGAGAGGATGGCGGCTTATGAGTAGATGTTGAGTGTCCATACACTTTTGATGGCACACACTTTGCACGCTGGAAAAATTAGATGACATGCAATTTTAAGTTTATTTCACCTCAAATATGGTGGATCGTAGATGTGGGTTTTTCTCATGCATTGGATAAAAAGAATGCAACTCAAGCGCAAAAGAAATGCCTACATCTCGATTGCCAAGCTACTAACATTTTATACCAATCTATGAAAGATAACATATTTAGGGAGATCATGTACATTAAGATCACCCATGATATTTGGTTGTACCTCAACTTGATATATGGGAGGGTCTCCAATAATGATGATGATGAGGCACCCAAGGAGGAGGCGCATGAGTGTGTTGAGCATGACCATAGTTTGGTAATTGTGGAAGATTGCTCCACCTCATGATCAAGTGATGTTGATGAAAGATCTACCACAAGTTCACTTGACAAGGTTGATGATGATACCTCAAGTGATGCAAATGATGATGCTACCCCATGCACACTTAATGGTGATGATGATTGTTCATGCCCGGATGATATTGCTACAACAAGCTCTCCAACACCTCTACATTGCCTCATGTTACAAGATGACACTAAGGTATCAAGTTGCAATGTAATTGGTCATGATTTATATGATGAGCTTGTTAGTAGACTTGTTAGCATGAATATAGATTTAGAAAATGAGATGGCTAAAACAAGTAAATTGGAAAATGAAAACTCATTTCTAAAGAACACACGTGAATAACAAAAGCATCTATTTTATGTCATTAGTTGTTCACATGAGGAGCTAAAATTGGCTCATGAGGAACTTAGTATTGCTCATGATAACTTGGTATAAGACCATGTTTTTCTCACTAAAGAGCTTTCAAATGAAAAATCTAAAACTAGTGAGAGCTCATCATATGGGTCAATTGATCAATCACATGTTGTTACTAACCCTTGTGATGTAGGCAAGAAGAATGTATCCACCTCTTGTGATGATTTATTAGCTATGCCATGTTCTTCACATATAGATGCTTGTTCTACTTCTATGTCTTGTGAGACTAACCTTTTGAAGGAGAACAATGAGCTCAAAAATGAAGTGAAGAATTTGAGCAACAAGCTAGAGAGGTGCTACAACACCAAAATCACCTTCGAGCATATGTTGAACAACAAAAGAAGCTATGGTGACAAGAGTGGCCTTAGCTTCAACAAGAGCATGACCAAGGGGGAGAGAAAAAAAGAAAGAAGGATGAAGAAGTTACTACAAAAGAAGCTCTCTTATTTCATGTGCTACAAATGCCATGAAATGGAACATTTTGAAAAGGGTTGCCCCAACCTTGAGAAGCTCAAGTTGAAGAAAGAAGAAGAGAGACTCAAGCATGTCAAGTGCTTCAAGTGCCGCACGTGGGGTCATCTCACCTCTATGTGCCCAACCAAGCAAGTGGTGAAGCAACAAGAAGAGCCTCAACCAAAGCCACAAGTTGAGCAAGAAAAGACACCTCAATAGCAAATCAAGATTAACCATAAAGATGGTGGTGACTTGATGATAAAGAAGAAGAAAACAAGAAGGGGTGGAAGAGCGAGACATCTAATGCTAATTCAAGATGCCAAGATGACGAGCAAGACTCAATATGAGAAGAAGGTGCATGCTCACATCAAGTGCTTCAAATGTGAAGATATGGGATACTTTGCCTCAAAGTGTACTACCAAGCTTGATAAGAAGGCTCAAGCAAATCATGAGAGACAAGACAATGAGAAGCAACAAATGAGCAAGAAACAAAAGGCTCAATCAAAGAGAGTGTGCTACTCATTGAAAGGTACAGAATCTGCCAGAAAAGTGATAATTATTGGATTAATCAAGAGTCACTTTGATTGAAAGGTTCTCAAGTTAGAAACATATTTTTAAGTGGTTGAGGTACCTAAGTTTGGTTTTGAATTGATCTAGAAGCATGAAAATCAAAGAGTACATGGCCATTTGATTGTGAAGTATACTTGGCACACATTTAGTACTTAAATTAGAAGATCAAGATCAAACTCAAGATGAAGATGAAGTTTGAGTTCTAGTGACAATTGG